GTACGAAATGATGTTCCTTAGCGTGGACAGCAGGGGGCAGTGTAGCCTCAAGAAGATTATCGAATGGAGTGGCAGTCCAAACTCCGCAGCAGTTCAGGTATATTGAAGCTTCAGTTTCTCCATGTGCAAACTTGGTCAGCAATGGTTCTCTCAGCTTACCTCCTCCTAACATGGAGAGGGTCATAAGATGAGCAGAGAACGTGGGGTCGGCGGGAGGTCTGACAACTGAAGAACGTCGTTGCTGGATCTCAGCTTTATCAGGGACGTCTATCAAAGACCTCAGCTGGCCTTGTGAACACACCATTAATTCCAAGCAAACTGGGCAACCAGAACCAGCATCAGGAAATGGTCTCACTCAGAAAGACTTAAGAAACATGCTCTAGGACGTGTTAGAGAAAAGATCTCAGGTTCAAATTCATCTGGGAATGAACAAGATGCCATGAACATCTCTTCACCAGTATCCACAGCACCTTCCCAGGACCAGCGATGCTGGGGTGGGCATGCAGACCCTTCTCTCCTGTCAATAGAACCGTCTAACACACCAGAATGGAAGTATCACTGGAGCCCCTCGAGGCTGTCCCCAGCATGGAGGACAGTGTCTGCCTGTAGTAGGTATTCAACAGATGTTTAATGACTGAAGGAATGAATGAATGCCCCACTGCTGGAGGAATGGAGAGTTTAGAATGTAGCCTGTATGCTGCCGGGGGGACCAGTGTCAGAGGCCTTGAAGCAGAAAGATCAAGGAGGGCATAATGAGGGTTTATTTCAAGGAGGGAACCCTTTGCTACAGCATAGGATAAGCTGCTTTGTCTTGGTGCTGGGTCTATGAGGGCAGGGAATTTTCAGACGTGTTCTGAATCACTCAAAGGGGTTGGGCAGGAGTGGAGAAATCAAGGAAGACTCTTTCAAGGGGGGTAAAAAAGGGTAAAAAAACTAAGGATCTTTTCCCCACTGGGATTTAAGCCAAGAATGGCAAATAGATGAATCTGTATGTCAATTCTGACGGGCTGGTAGTGGCTGTCCAGGGCACTCAGCTGAGAGGGATTCTGAAGCTGCATTCAGCTCATCAGGAGAGGGCTGGCTCTGTGGCTGAGCAGGGATGCCCGTTACAGGCACAGAAGTGGGAGTAACATCGTGGACACGTGCCATATAACAGCGGAAGAGCAATGGCCTTCCCACTTGGTTCTAGCGAGAAATAAAATTTGGAATCATGACATCATTCTAGAAAACACACTGTGGACAAAATATTTTATTTTGTTTTATTTTGTTCTCCATGTGAAAAAGAAGGCCTAGAAAACACACACCCCACATGCACTCAGTGTGCTGCAGCCGTAGAAACGCTTGATTGGCACCTGCTGCAGGCAGAGTGGGGAGCGCACCCACAGGGCCTCCCCTCCTCTATTGCCCTGTCAGCCACTGCGCCCTCCCTGCCCACCTTAGGCAGCTCAGAGACTGTCATCTCTAGTTTCTCTTCTCACTTGCAAGGAGTGGACTCCTCTCTGGGTGGGTGATATCGACAGAGGTCTAACAGAGGGAAGAATGAGAGCAGCTGGTGCGGCATGGGAGCCAGGCAGAAGCATTTGATATGGAAACAACCTGAAGAAGTTTTCGATGTTTTTATATGGAAACAGAGACAACTCCAGGTCCTACATGAACTCCCAGTGTGTTGACAACGGTCGTCGGGGCAGGATCTATTTTACCACGCTTTTTACCAGGTGCCAGTGCAGATCTGAAATAGATGGCAATCCATCAGTGGTCCATCCAAGGTGGCAGCTCAGTGGCTCCAGCCAGGAGGTGAGGAACGGGGTGCTTGCAATGGGGAAAGAAGGGATTCCGAGCTTAGTGGGTTCTAGAGATGCCCCTGTCAGCAGCTGCCTGTAGTGGAATGTGGCCCTGGTCAGGTGACACCAGCCCTGGCCAGGTGACGCTGGCCCTGGAGAAAAAGGAGAAAAGATAAGACTTTCATCTAAATGGGGTTATCAGCCAGCAAGATCTAGCAGTCAAACAACCCATTTGGAGCTGTTTTTGTGAAGCAACGATTGGCCAAGTATCACCATGAAAACAGACTGGTGAAAGGCTATGAGGTTGTCTGGGTGGTTTGCAAATGTTCAGAAAAAAATATTACAGGAAGGAGAATGTATCTTCTTTCCTTAAAAATGGATTTTCCTGAACCTGAAACTAGGCCAACCAGGTTTGGAGCATGAAAGTCGTGGCAGGAGGCAGGCCAGCGTTATTCCAGGAAGGTCCCGGAGGCAGGGAATCTTGATGGACAGGTAGGTGCAGTTGGATTCATGGGCCTCAGCCAAGCCCAAGAACTGACCACTGACCAGTGGCTGGGACTCCCTTCTATCACCAAAGGTCATTGTCCTTGTATTTTCTGATGCTGTTTCTCCAGGTGACAGATAAACTAACCACATCACAAAATGACAACCGCATGCAGTTTTTACTCAGTCACAAATGGTCCTCGGATCACTCATATGTTGACGTGGGTGAGAAATAATAACAACAGATGAATGAAAAGGAAGTGTTCTTCTTCCCCAGACACTGCGGGAGCTGGGGAGAGCTCTGTATCTGGTTTTTGGAAGGAGGCCGGAGCTGCTTGGAGCTGGACTCTGTTCCGTGCAGGCACTGGGAAACAGTTTGATGTCATTCCCAGCCGCCTGCACCCTGGGACTTGAGAAAGTCACCATCTCCCGCTTCTTAGGAACTGCAGGCTCCCTAGTTCTCTAATACACATCATCTCACTGGCTTCAGTCTGGACTATGAGGGAGGCACTGGTTTCCACCTCGTCAAAGCATGGATGTCACTGCTGTGTGGAGCACGACCTGCTCCAAATCTCGGAGCTACTGGTAAGTTCAAATCCAGGACTCGTTAGAGGGCTTTTGTGTTCTTGGGTTAGAGCGGGAAGTTGAACTTCTTGTTAAGATGAGGCTCCAGAAAAGTCCCTGGGAAACCCCCATTCCAGCTGGGAGCTTTTCTCCACCCCAGCAGAGAAAAGGCAGGCACACAGCCGTGCCCCTTGTACTTTCCGAGCACTTCCAGAAAGAAAAGCTTCCAGTTGTGGTGGCCACTGCTCTGAATGGCCAAATGCTGAACAGTCAGGATTTGGCTTGCTAGAAACTTCTTTATTCCCCCTGAAGTAGCCAATCACCAGGGGTGGTCACAGGTTGGCAGGGTACTCAGGCAAGCGTCCAGCCACTCTGGGATCTGCCACGTCTTGGCATGAAAACCACCTGGCAGCTGAAGATTTAAGGACATGGAAAAATGGTCCTGGACTATTAAACAGTAAAAGTGGATTAGAAAACATTGTATAAAGTAGGATCCCATTTTGGGGGGTCACACATAAAAAAACACTTGGAAGAATAATAGCAAAGTCTTGAGATTATAGGTATTTTAATTTTGTTCTTTCAGTTTATTTGAATTTTCTATTTTATTTTCCAATAAACACAAATTGATTTCATTATAGGAGCTTTTTAAAAAGCCACTTTCATCTGCTCAAAGGTGGGAGGTGTGGCCAATATCTGAGCAGAGCTTTAGGAAGCAGGCAACTTCTCTTCCCTGCTAACCCCAATACAGTAACTCGTCACCCACCATGTTTAATTATGCAAAATGCATCACTACCCTTTTCCTTTTATAAAAGAGAGCAAAAAGCCAGGAAAACTGTGAATGTGGGTGCTTTAGTAAAAGGCTAAAAGCATTTGATTTCAAGCCAGCGTCCCGGGCTCATTCTGGGCTCACTGTAGCCAGCCTGATCCGTCTTGCCTTTTTCTGGCTCCCTGGTCCATGCAGGCATCCAGCGGGGCTCAGCAGCCCTGGGGAGAGGCAGCAGGGAGGTTTGCTAGACCTTCCTGATAAAAGACCCTCTTTCCTGAGAGAATTTACAGTCACTACAACCAAGGCAGAACAGTTTCTTGGTAACTAGAAAATTCAGTGACTCACTCTACTTTGTCTTCTGAGCTCTGCAAGTGACCAGTTTGGGGCCAGAGGAGAAACAAGAGAGGAAAAGAAGAGGAAAAACTAAAGTTTATTAGGGGTTAATCATCCAGCCACTCAACCAGATTTCCGAGTGGCCATGTGTGTGCCAGGCTCTATGAGCGGCGTGGGCCACACAGAGGTAAAATAGTCACAGCTGGCTGGGGAGTGAGGACAATAATCAAGCAGTTATGATGCAGAGGGGTGCAGGGGCTGAGTAGGCGCTGTGGGAGGGAGCCTATAGCAGGCACAACTCCTGGATGTAGCATCAGGGCAGCCTTCCTGGAGGAGGAGACTTCTAGACTAAGGCCTGGATGACAAAGAGGAAATGATGAAGCCAAAGGCAAGGGATAAAGTATGAGAAGAGACAGCATGCAAAAAGACCCAGAGATGAGAATGAGGATAGTACGCTTAGGGTGGTGGTGAGGATGAGGCAGTTAAGGACTGACACTTGACCTAGAAGGCAATGGGGAGCCATCAAGGGCATCTAAGCAAGGGAGTCTCTTGCTCAGACTTCTGTTTTTAGATCCCTTGGGCCACAGTGATCTTTTAGCAATGAGAAAGGGAGAAGAGAGAACAAGAGGTGGGGGCCGGGGGCAGAGGCTGTGGGAGCCCATTGGTGTCTCTGAGACTCAGGCTCTGAGCTCAGGAGGGAGGTGGGGAGATGGTGCTCGTGTGACAGGGTGCGGGCACCCTGGTTTGAGTCCTCACTTTTGAGCGTGAGTCATTAAATTTGTACAATGAAACTACACTTCTCTCTGAGGGTCATCAAAGCTCCTGAATGGAAAAACAGAGAGGTGAGCTCGCTATAAACAGGTAAGTTCTGTGCTGAACTCAGTTACCGAGCACCCAGCTCACCTCCAATCACAGGGGGGCATATGAGATTGGCTTTTTGATGACGAGAAGGGTGGCAATCCTAGCCCCGGGATTAGTGCAGATTAGATAAGAAACAAATGACAAATATTTTCATGGCAAAGAAGAGAGTTTCAAGCTGTAGGAGGCGCAGTTGGCTGGGGAGGAAACACACTGACCTGGCACTCAGGGGCTGGTCACCGCTTGGTTCCCGCGGATCGCCTGCAGGGAGAGCTCGTACCCGAGGAACATGGCTGCGCTCATGGGGAAGCCCCGTACAGTGTTCACAGTGATGCCTCTGAAAAACACCTTTGGCGGGAGGCGGTGTTATCAGAGGGGACTGATCCGCACCCTCTGCAGGGCCACCACTGAGGAGCAGAGAGAGGCCTAGCAGTGCTGCTCACTTAGGCCCCCTGTCCCAGGCTAGACCTGCAGAGCTCGAAGGCCCCGTGAAGGTGGAGACCACCTGAGACGTCCTGGCCATGCCCCTGCCCTACCCCAGGTCACATCTGATGGTACTTTTCCTCCCAGGTTCACATGCACTAAATATTATGAGCTAACTGCTGAATTCTATGAACACCCATGTATACTTGCTTAATTGCTGCTCTCTCTCTTGAATTCGCGTGCGTGTGCACACGTGCACACACGCGCACACACAACGCTTGGGAAGCCAGAAGCCAGAGCGCTCCACCCCACTCATTTTGCAACAGTAGACAGAACACCCAGCCACGCCGACACTGGACAGATGCTTCACAGGACAGCCCTAAGTGGCGGGGTCGGGGAGAACTCAGGCTGTGAGGAAGGTGGTAGACACAGAGCTGAGGCACAGCTTGGCCATTTAGTAGCTGTGTTGTTACTTGGGCAAGTGGCAGCTTCTAGAATCTGTTTTCCCAACTGTAAAATGGGGGCAATAACACTAGTGACCCGAACCGGTTGTTGAGGGGGTGAATGAGATGACGCTTTGAAGCACTCGCACAGCGCCTGCTGTGCGGTAAGCGCTCACCAACTGTTGACTGTCCCAGCACCGTCCTTATTGTCAACAGTCATCGCTTCATACAGAGTAGCACTCAGCCTCGATCATCAGTCTGAGTGCCCGGCAGCAGTGGCCTGTCTTGATGAGCCGCTAAACTCGGCCTTTAATACAAGAAGACTGTGTTTGTCTTCCGCCCCTAGACAATATGAATGATGCTTCCCTTCCTACCCAAAACGTCCTGCCTGGTGCTGGGTACACCCTGATCTACATGACATAGTTCTCACCCTTGGGATGTTTATAACCTACTAGAGAGGCTGAGTCCCTTTCAGGAATAACTACAACATAACTTAGAATGTGATGAGGACAGATAAGGGCTTTGGTAAGGATGGGGGTGGGGGCTGGGGAGGAGCTGTCCTCAAATGTCCTCTCTGGGAAGGGACAACACGACTAAAGGCAAATGTCTACTCAAGCATAAATGGCCTGAGAATTGTCAGGCATAAGACTCAAACCTATTCACTGACTCTTATATAATTTATCAAGTTTATGAAATATAATGTATTTTAAGAAAGCAGAAATCTAGCCTTTGCATTTCCTGTTTTCTTGGTAGTCAGGCACTGTGATATCGGGGTAAGAAGGTGCAAGATGTCGGGTGGCCTTCCTTGTGGAGAAGTGCCTGCCCCTTGACACTCGGGCAGCCTGGGAGATGCAGCGTGATCAGGAAGGGGAGAGAAGGCCTCTGTTCTCTTGTGGACTTGAGGGGAAGCCTCAGCCCCCAGGAAGGGAACTGATGGACCGGGATCCCAGAGGTGAGCAAGTGGCTCTGCTAAAATCTGGAGCAATTCAGGCAGTGGGGAAGCGGGATCCTTCTAACTTTAGCAATCCTCTCTCATGCCTAACCTTTCTGGAATTCCACAGGCTCACCCAGAGTGACTGAATAATAGCAAGGAACTAGGTCAGGCTCCAAGAGGAAAATTCCATGTGAGATGCCCACAGGGGCTCCCCTGTGACCGAGGCTTGGCTCTGCAAGGCGAGGCAAGCCAGGCAGGACCCAGCTTGGAGTGTGACCTTTCCCTCCCACAGCTGTGGCTGCTCTTCTGTGAGGCCCAAGGTGGCAGACCTTCTGGCTTTTACCACAGGCTTTTGGAACACAAAAACACCAGACTGAGTCTCTTCTCATGAAGCCTCAATGGCCCCCCACTGCCCAAGGTCAAGTCGACACCCTTTCCTAGCCTGTCAGGACCCATGCCCTCTGTCCCTGCACTTTCTTTGGGCTGCCTTTCTCACCCGACACTCTGGGCAGGCTTACAGCCTGTCACTCCTCCTATAGGGCCAACTCTTTTTCCACCACTGGGCTTCAGCTGGAATGCTCCCCAAACCTGCACCCTCTAGTCATCCTCCCAGTGACACCCCAAGTTAGACTACGGCCCATTGCCTTCTATGCTCTCAGTATCTCTGCCAGCACAGCACTTCTCACACCATTTTCCAATTGCCCATGATTTGTATATCCTCTTATTAATGATCCCAGGAAGGGCAGTGAGAGCGGGGCTGTGTATATTGGCTCAGCTCTGAATCCCAGTGCCTGCACTGTGCTAGGCCTAGAGGACCCATCCATCAGAGGATGGATGAATGAATGGATAGATGAACAAATGAATGAAAGAACAAATGAATGAACCAATGAATGAACCAAAGAAAAGATGCACAAAAAAGCAGTCTCTGAGTTGAAAGAGTCCTGGCGGTGGCTGTGATAGTGGGGGATTCCTGGAGTGGAGGAAGGGCTCCAGACCCCCCAAGTGCCAGAACCAAAGAGCAACTAGCCCTGGCGCCTTGGGAAGCTTGTCTGTTATCAATGTTCCTCTCTGTCTCTCTTTAGCGTCATTCAATCTCATCCCCCTGTGACAACCCCTTCACGACAATCACCTCTGTGGAGCTAAAGGACATCAAGTCATTCCTCCAGCCTCTTTATTTCAGATGACAGCTCTCCAAGTATGAGCCATGGCCCAGTGACCCATGACGATCCTCACGGCCTGCAGAGAATGGACCTAAAACTACCAGGTCTTTCTTCTGTTATGACTTGAGAATGCTCCGAAAGTCCACGGGCTTCCAATCATCGCTGTCACGAAGGCCGCTTTACTCGTAATCGTTAAGTGAGTTACAAAGGGCTATTAAAATTGGGCACCATCGTCACTATTTTACTCCTTTCTAATTCTTTATTACCACTGAGTTCTTCTTCCATGGGAAAGTGGGAGCATGTTGGCTTAGGGCTTTGTGACCTGCCTCAGTAAGCTGTAGTAGAACTTGGACAATGAATACTCTGTAAAGCTAGTGCCCAAGCCAACTGGGATTGGAGCCATCCCTTGGCCCTGGGAAAAGACATTCCCTCCTGCTGGGAATATGACTGGGAGACAACTCAACTTTGTAGGACTGTGTGGGGTTTTTTGGTTGCTATTTATGTTTATACGCAAACACATATACAAATATACATAAATATATATACACACACGTATGCTTGCATAGGCTGTGAGTATTTTTGGAATATATCACAAGAAATAACAGTGATTCCTTTTGAGAGAGAACTGGCAACCACAGGTGTAACAGTTAGATAGTATATCCTCTTTTTACATCTTTTGAAGCTTCTTATGTTTATATATAATCTATTTTTAACCCACTAATAAAAACATTGAAAAATTAATCTCAGTCAATAAGGTGGTTAATCAAGCTGAATCTTGCTATCTCTGCTTAAAATGTGTGTCTGACTATAAACTACAAATCGAGTGCTATTGAAATTAAAAAATTGATCATTTGGCCTCAGTTGCCCTTTGGAATTTTTTTTTTTTTTGACAGCACAGTATATTTTGGAGGAATAATGTCAGCAAAATATTCTGCCTCTACAGACATTTTTAGAATTATGACACATTAATGTTTTGGATAACAGACAAACATATCTCATATTAAAACAGAGCATTGAATCTAGATCTCCCTTATATGTCCCTCTGTAGTTATTAGTTGAATCACAAACTATGCTTCTGCCTCCCTCCAAAAAAAGACATTCAAGGTGAAGACTCTAGGAATATGGCAGAGTAAGAAATACCAGGAATCTGTATCCCTACCTAGACAACAACTGTACTGGCAGAATTGGTCTGACATAACGATTTTGGAATTCCGGAGTTGACTGAAAGCTTACGACTTCCAGAGGAAGGCTTTTACAGTAAGCTGTGATTAATTTCACTCAATTTCAGCTCTTAGCACAGTAGCAGCTATTGGTCCCCCACCTAAGCCGGAAGCTGTGCATGTGTTTCTGGAGCAATGTGCACACAGCTTATGGGAGACAGAAGCGGCAATAAGGACCCTGTCCTCCCCAAAGTGAAGATCTCTTTCTGATCACTGATTGCTGTTTCTGATCATAGAGGTGCAATGAGGAGGGTGGCCATTGTTGTTCCACTTACCCCTCACTGATGCAAGCCCTCCCCTCTGACTGAAGGGACTTCCAGAGGATTTAAAGGGCTCATGCCCTTCCCCCTTCATTGTTCTCTCTTTCCCCTTTTGGGAGGCAGACATTAATAACTAGGACATTCAAAAGTAACTGCATGTTTGGGGAAAATTAGAAAGTGACTGAACATGCCCAGGGAAAGGTAAAGGCTCAGAAGAGACTTGAAAGGACCTGATCCTTGGCACAGAGACAGCCCACAAAAATAACAAAAAACACTAAACCCTGGGAAGAGAGAAGAATTTGATTTCCAGAGTTACCACATTATTAGATTTAAATATCTAGCTTTCAACAAAAAATCATGAACCATACAAAGAAACAAGAAAGTATGGTCTATTCAAAGAAAAAATAAATAAACAGAAATGGTCCCTGAAAAAGGTCTACTTTATAACAGATCTACTTTATAACTATCTTATAGATGCTTGAAGAACTAGAGGAAGATGTGGAGCAAGTCAAGAAAATGACAAAATGGAAATGGAACAAAATGGAAATATCAGTGAAGAAATAGAAAACTCAGAGAGAACCAAACTGAAATTCTGGAGCTAAAACGTACAATAACTAAAATGGAAAATTTACTAGAAGGATTCAAAGGCATATTTAAGCAGGCATAAGCAAGAATCAGCAAATTTGAAGATAGGACAATGAACATTATTGAGTCTGAGGAACAGAAAGAAAAAAGGTTGAAGAAAAGTGAACAGAGCTTAAGGGACCTGTGGGAAACTGTCAAGTAGATCAACATATGCATTGCGAGAGTCCCAGAAGAAGGGAAAAAGGGACAGAGAGAATATTTGAAGTAATAATAGCTGAAACCTTTCCAAACTTGCTGAAAGATGTGAATATAAATATTAAAGAAGCTCAACAAATTCCAGGAAAGATGAACTCGAAGTGACCCACACCAAGACACATTATAATAAACTTTCAAAGACAAAAAGAATCATGAAAGCAGCAAGAGTGAAGCAACTTGTTAAACACAAAGGCTCCTCAATAAGATCACTAGCAGATTGTGCATCGGAAACTTTAGAGGCCAGAAGGCAATAGGCCAATACATTCAAAATGCTAAAAGAAAAAACTGTCAATCAAAAATCCTATACTCAGCAAAACTATCCTTCAAAAAATGAGGGAGAAATTAAGACATTTTCAGATAAACAAAAGCTGAGGGAGTTAACTACTATTAGATCTATGCTGCAAGAAATGTTTAAGGGAGTCCCACAGGGTGAAATGAAATGACACTGGAACCGTAACTTGAAGCCGTATAAAGAAATAAAGATCCCAATGAAGGTAAATTTAGAGGGAGAGTGATGTCAGCACTGTGATAGCACAAGATGTCCCTCATTCGCCCCCAACACAACAACAAAAATTTGGCATCCATCCATGAATAAAAGTGTCTCTGAGGAACTTGTGGGACCCAGCACCATATGCCCGGGGACCCTAGAGGAGTGTCTCCCATCTGTATATCAATAATAGGCAGACAGACCTCAGCACTGGCAGTGGAACCTCGAGTAGACTGTGAACTGGTTCCAGCCCCTCTTGGCCACAGTCCAGGAGCACTTGGAAAACACTGATCTGGGTGGTCATCGACAGATGAGAGAGCCTCGTGGAAGTCCAGGTTTCCAGAGAAGAAGTTCCAGTACTCCATCGGAGCAAAAAAGAAAATACAAGTTTGGATGCAGTGGAGTGGGCAGTTAGTAGATACTGGAAGGTTTGGGATTATTGCAAGGCAGCCACACGAGAAAAGGCCCAGAGCTCAGCAGTGACAGTAACACTAACAAAACTACTAATATTAATGTCGATAACAAATGGCTCTTTCTAAATGTTCTCTAGGCGTGATGCATTAAATTAGCACTTTTTATATGCCTAATTTAATTCAACCCACAAATATCTCTGTTGTTCACAGTAGAGATGGTTATCTTTGGAGAAACTTAAGGCCTGGAGAGGTAAAGCAACTGGTCTGGATTCCTCTACATCAGGAGTCCCCAACCTTTTTGGCACCAGAGACCAGTGCCCCTATGAGAATCTAATGCCTGATGATCTGAGGTGGAGCTGAGGCAGAGATACGAGCGCTGGGGGGCAGCTGCAAATACAGATGAAGGTTCACTCACTCGCCTGCTGCTCACCTCCCGCTGTGTGGCCCATTTCCTAAAAGGCCATGAACCGGTACCAGTCTGTGACCTGGGGGTCGGGGACCCCTGCTCTAGATCACAAGTAGCCAGTCATGGCTTTGAGCTCAAGTCTGCTTGAGAGGCATGTCAAGAAAATTTGGGTGCAGGCAAGAGAAAAGAGGAGAGAGACAAAGCCAGGTTGGAGGCTGCCTCAGTAAGTGAAGCCAGAGGTGATGGGGTCTAAACTCCCGTAGGTGGGAGAGCATAAGACAGATCAGGGAACTGGAACTTATGAGATGTGATGACTGAGGTGGTTCAGGGGCTCCCCACTTAGAAGAGGGACAAGGGTGAGGCACTGAGCAATGAGTTAGGAAGAACTTCCCGGCATAGCTTGATGAAAAGCAAGGTTTGGTGACACACAGAGGTGGTCCAGGTCTCAGCTCTGCCATCCACCACCTGTTTGACCTCAGTGGGTCACCAGTCCTCTCTGAACCTCTGTCAGGTACAGAGCACAGGCAACTCCTTCACACCAGGCCAGCACAAAGACGAGATGATGAAACAAGTTTCTCTCACAGTACTTAATAACTGGTGACTGTCGGCATCTCAGTTTCCCTTCTCTATAATCTCACTTCGCTAAAAATGTCTGACCCCCCCCTTCCAGGGACTGACACAGACCCTGCATGACCACTGTGGGGCTTACTTTAAGACCGTCATTCTGGTAACTCTTGGAGATACAGTCCAGAACACCTTTGTACTTGTTTAAATAAACTCCGTCAGCTTGGAGTCGACTTTTCACGACATCCATAGGCGTCGCTGTACCCCAAGAAATTGCTCCTGTAAAGAGAGATAAACAGGTGTCAGGGGCTGGCTGGTTGGGGTCTGGAGGAAACTCTGCAGATTTCTACCATTCAGAGACTTCTGAGGGAAGTGGAAAAGCTCAGGGTTAGGACCCGTGAAGGCTGTTCCTGAGCCTTCCTTGCCACTTGCTGTGGGACTTTGTAGAATTCTCCTACCTCCTCTAGGCCTTGGGTTTGTCATCTGTAAAATGAAGCAGCAGCACTTATCTTCATGGGGTTGTTGTGAGCATAAATAAATGGATTCGTGTGAAGCCTTTAGCACAATACCAGCTAGTGCTTCATAAGTGGAAGCCTTTATTAGCAGTTTTTATTGGATAAACAGGAACAGCCCCCGCCAGTACCTTGCAGCACCTTTCCAGGGCACCAGGGGAGAGTGCCCAGGGTAATGCCTGAGGCTGGAGGCCTGTAGCTCCCCAGAGGCAGGATTTACCCTGAACACAAAGAAGCTAACCAAACACTTGCAGATAGGCTGCTGGCCAAGGAAGGGCCAGACTGGGGCTTGCAAGAAGAGGAGCAGCCGGTCTTTAAAAATCTCATGTCTTTTCCACATATATGGAATAGGAGCCTTGGGACTCCATGCCACTGGGTCATCCTGTTTGGATAAGCCCAGGTGCCCTGGTTTGGCCATTTCTGTGACTTTAAGGAACTCCAGGTTATTGTGTAAACACAAAAATTGACACATTCTTGGATGGGGAGAGAAAAACAAACTGATGCCAAAGTCCAAAGCAACTGATGTGAAAGATTTCATAATTGCTGCCCAGAGGCTCCCCAAAGAGGCCTTCACCTGCCCAGGCCCTCTGTCCATCCCAGCCTCCAGCTCCTGTGGCCTCCTGACCCCTGACCCTTGGGGGGCCCCCTGAACCTCTTTTCTCTCCTGCCACCTGACAGGATGATGGGCTGCTTCCCCCGGCACACTTTCCTGTTCCTCAGCCCACAGGCAAGGGTATTACAAATCGAGATTTGCCTGCTCACCATAAATGAGAGCGGATGGGGCCTTGTTTGTCCTCTCAGCCAGCGAGTATTTACTGAGCACTTAATAGGAGCTGGTAGGGGCCAGGCCTCAGACCTGCGGGGGTGGAGGGAGAACACTGGTATTTGTGTTTGGGTTTTGTTATGTGTTAGCTGAATTTCAAGCACAGCAAATTATAACGAGGAGGAGGAAGAAGAACAGGAGGAGGAATGACAATTTTCTTCTCTCCATTGGACTTTTCCCATTAGCATCAAACATGCCATGTTTCCAGCCTTCTTAAAAAGCAATCTGCTCCTGACTTCCATGCTTGCCTCTGGCTGTAGCTAGAGTTCTCTCTGCCCCATTACAGCACAGCCAAATCCCTCGGAAGTGTTGTGTAGACTTGGTTTCTCCAATTTCCTTCATCCTCTCCTTTCTCTATCCCACGTCAGTCAGGTTTTCACACCCTTCTCTTCACCAAAATGGGTCTCACCAAAGTCCCCTGTGGTGGAGGGAGAGCCAGGCACGGACAGCCTGCAGCAAAGAGACCAGTGTGACTGGAGCAGAACAAGTCAGGGGACAGGAGCAGAAAATGAGTGCAGGTGGGTAACAGGCAGCCAGATCGTAGAGGGACTTGAAATCCTCTGCAAGGACACTGACTCTTACCCTATAGGAAATGGGGACATGGTGTGGGTCCACAGTCACAAAATGAATAAGTGCAGATTTGAACTCGTATCCTTCTGACTACAGTGTCCCTGCTATACTGTCCGCACTAGCTGTGTGACATTGGGTTGGTCACTTAATCTCTCTGAACCTGAGCTTTCTCATCTGAAAAATGGGGAGACTGATTCCTACCTTCTTGGGCTAATGAAATCTCATATGAGAAGAGTTTGCAGTATGCCCATATTAAAAAACAGTGAGCTACGATAACATTTCATTTTCAATGCTCAGGCATACCTAACAGAGAGTAAGTGCTCAAAATATGTCTTCTGACAAAAGGTGAATGGGCCCAAATAGGGACTTGGCGTCCCCACAGGTCTGGAGAGAAGAGGATGGGAGAAAGAGGGGGACCTTCCCCTATTCCCAGCCCTTCCTCGCCCAGCGAGGTCTGACACATATTAAGCACTTAACAAAGACTTTTTGGATGAGTGGCTGGATGGATCCTGCCCTTCCCCAGGGCTGAGGAGGGCATGGAAGGCCCCCAGGTGTGCCCTGCAGTGGCTAGCACAGGGACAGGAATGAGCTCTGCTGCCTTACCTGCCATGCCACCAGCCAGCCACACAGCACAGGGGCTGGGCCCTGCGCAGGTCTCGGGTGTGATCCAGTCACTCAGCAGCACATAGGGGATGAAGTAGAGGCAGTAGCCCGGGACGTCCCTTAGCAGCATGGCACTGGCACCCCGGTACAGCCCTGCCAGGCCCTCCGTCCGCACGATGGTTGCGATGCAATGCACAGGCCCCTGGTAGGCTGGCCGCTCCCCAAGAGTTGCCCTGGGCTTCAAACCGAGGTTGGCTGCCAAGACACGGGGGAGAAGATGGCAAGTGACCCAGGGGACCAGAGATTGGTCATTCTCTGGCACTGAAGCCAGCCCGGCCCATTGACAGTTCCCAGTCACGTGGCCCATTGGTTTTTACCAAACCTTCTAACCCTCTTGGCAGCTAAAACCAGGATTCTGAAGTCTCAACAGAGAGCCCCTGCCAACATGTACAACCAGATCGGAGACAGTACCAGCCAGGTGATAAAATATCAGTTGCCCTAGAATGCCCAGAGGTTTCTGGTCAACCATTACTATGCCTTTCTAAGCAGAAGTAACTGCAGAATGCCTAGGATCAAATATACCAAGCTCTTTCCTGAAGCTGAGACTAAAAATCCGACACACTGTGTTTGTATGTGTGTGCGTATACTTGTGCACACTGTGGTTAAAAAAAAAAAATCTTATAATTGGTATTATGAGATTTGGACCCAGACTGTTCTGGTCCCAAATCCTGGCTTCACCACTTGAAAACTGTTTGTCCTTGGTAGACCTTATCTAAAAAAGAAAACAGGCAATACTGTACTGTATACTTGGAAGTTGCTAAGGAAGAAGATTTTAAAAGTTCTCCCCACCACACACACACAAGATGATACACATATTTTGCAATATGTGAATATAATCAAATCATCACATTGCATACTTAAACTTATACAATATTATAGTCAATTATATCTCAATAAAGCTGGAAAAATATTTAAAAAATAAAAAGAGAATAGGCTGATGTGAGTATAAATAGAGTGATACCCATAGAGTGCTTGGCATGGTTCTAGGAACATCGTAGGGGTGCAATAAGCCATCCCCAGATTATTACAAAGACCAAGGCAACTGGGATGAATCGGGTGCAGGATGCATTGGAGGGGGCACTGGACATGTTCTCACTGACTCACCCCAGCCCTGGCCAGGCTGTACCCTGAAATGCCTGTAGGGCAACACTGGTGCCACTGGCCCCTCAAAGTCTAAGGGCACAGGGCTGCTGTCCTCTTGTCTGACCTCTGGGGTCTCTGCTGGCAGACCATGGGTTGTTATGTCTGCAGCTTCTTCTAAGGGTGTACGTAGCCAGCAAGTGGTGACTCTTTCTCTCCCATTTAATCCTTCCACCTGGCTCCCTGGTCTCCCTAGCTGATGCTCACCTCTGCTGTGGACCCTTTAGCATAGCTTTGAATCAAAGCCAGAGAGATCTCCCAGTCTCCGTGCAGATAAAGCAGACTCTTATTCTCAACTTTTTCCCTTCTTGAAAAATTAACATGACATGCCCAGGGAAGAAACAGAATGAAGCTTGCCTGTGACCACATGCTTATTTTGCAACCTGAGTTTCATTCCTAATATGTATCATCTCAATTTGGTTTTACACATGCTGACAAAGAGGCATATCACTTGCACCGTAGAGTTGTATTTCCAAGTCACCTAGGCAGTTCCATCTTTATCAGAGGAAAGGTTACGACAAAATATTTGGCTTCGTGACTCCACAGTCTAAACTGGAGATTTGAGGGTAAATTGCAACCTGTTCTTTCACACATCCCAGAAGTAGGTGAGGTCATGGTGGAAGTTTCTATTTGCTCAGGAAATGTGCTTGGCCAAACTAATCCTATATTTTCCATTTGTGTGAGGGGAACAGAGTAATCACTACCATGCACATTAAGCTAACTGCAGTGTGGACAGGAGGCTGAGTCCCATTCACTTCTACAGCACATCCCACAGGAAGTGAGCAGGGGTGGTGGCCATTTTTGAGGGCACAGGGCCTTCTGAGCTCAGAGCAAAATTGGACACTGTGGTGTTTGAAAGCCCATTGAGAGATCACTGGACACCTCTTCTTCTCCCAAATCCATCATGATACTGCTGGGGTCACCTAGGGAATTTTGGTAGAGAAAATAGATGTAATTGTTCTAACACATAAATTTTGCCTGGGCCATGCTCATGTCCAAGTATGGCGATCCAAGCCAGGAGTCAAAGTTTCCATGAATCAACTATGGACATGATGTGGCTTTCATAAGTTACCGATTGCAGGAGTGTCTGATAACATTCTTCTTGTTTGGAGATACAGATGCTGAAAAAAGAACTTGCCAAACCTCCAACTGCTCTTGTCAACAAAAAATCTGAACTTATTTCCTTTTCTTTCCGGAGTGAGCAATAAGGAAATTCTCTCATATTCTCCCAGGTTTGCTACATAAGTAATCTAGCTTTTTTGCTTGAGAATGATCCATCTATGACTGTGAAAGCAATATAATTGTCGTGGAGACTACCACCGTCTGGAACACCGACACGAATCTGAATCGGCGGCCAGTGCCCTCTAGACACATGTTGATGCTGAGAAGCCCTTGGAACTCCTTTCAACTCCCTCATCTTCAACATAAAAGCTTTTTTTTATAATAAGTATATAATAATGTATAAAATAATAATTTCGAATTTGCAAAATAAGTGCAAAAAAAAAAAAAGAACTGTACAAAGAACGCCTTTATATTATATATCCTTTACCCAGATTCACCTATGGTTAACATTTTACTTCATTCGTTCTAGTTTGTGCGCTCTCCCCCTCCACCCCTGTTCTCACTCAAACACGTGTGCGTAAATGAACTGAGCAGATGCGACTGTCCTCATGCATAAACCTGCCTGGGCTCTGTTCATCTCCAGGAAACAGTGACCTGATCTGGAATCAAGGTTTTCATGAGTCAGTTATGAGTATGATGTGGCTTTCAGGAGTTACAGATAGAAGGACAGTGACTGATAACGTGCCAATGTTGGAAAAACACTTGGCAAACCTTGAACCAAACTTGTCAACAAGATCCAAACCAGAACCAAACCTATACTTTTTTTTTACCCCAAAGTAAGCAATAAGGGAATTCCTTTGCACACATATGCATATTTTTTTCACACGTACATACATAATTTTATTTTCTGAACTATTTCAGGGTGAGTTACATACACAATGACGCTTTATCCCTAAATACTTCAATATGTGTTTGCTAAGAATAGGGATATTGTCTCACCACAGCACAGTTATCAGTATCATAACCTACATTGACAATACTTTTATCTACACTCAGGTTGTCATTTGATCTCATGATGACCTTTAAAGCATTCCTCTCCCTCCCCAGGGCAGGATCCAGTCGAATCAGGTATTGCATTTAGTTGTCATGTCTCTTTAGCCTCCTTTAATCCAGAGCCTTCCTACATCCTTCTTGTAAACGGATTTTCCTCATTTGGGGTTTGTTTGTGTTTCCTTGTAATTACGTTGAGGTTATGCATCCTTGGCCAGACCTCCTCCCTGTCTCACCTCTCCTCCCATGATCAATCACTCTCAAGAACACCTGGTCTTCTCCTTCTCTGGCCTCCTATATCTGATTTTTAGTTTGTTTCTTTGCTTTTTTAAATTGAGGTATAACTTATAGTCAACAAAAAAAGGTGCAGCTCTTAAGTGCGTAGTTGGTGAGTTTTGACAATTGCATGACCTGTGTTACCACATCCTACTGAGAAAATGACATCTTATACTTGAAACAAACTGTTTTGATCACAGCCCACTTAGGGAGAGCAAAGATTCCTAGCCTACCTACCCTCTCCTGCTTTTCAAGGGACATCAGTGATGTATCACTCAATGAGAAGCAAATCTTTCTTAGACGATGGTTGTTACGGGCTCATCTGCATTAGCAATAGTGGTACGGATGATTCATATGGGACCACAGAGCAAAAAACAGCAGAAATTCCTATCAGTTGCACAGACCACAAGAGGCTCTGTGGCTTAGCTGGGGAGGCATGGCCCTGAGGGGTGTGGCCTGGAGTCTCAGCAGCTGGACTTGGGAAAGCACTGAATTGGAGTTCTTGGTCACTCTAGCAGTGGACCAGTTTTAGCTTGTGAAAGACAAATTTTGGTGATCCCTAAAAACTGACTTGAGAGGTTGCTGGCAAACAGTACTTGGAAATATGCACAGCTGAAATCCATGGACTTGCAAGTCATTTGTGCGAAGACCTTGAGGAACAAGGCGAGGTGCTGGATTAGCACAGTGAGTCCTCACTAACGTCATAGATAGGTTCTTGCAAAGTTGTGACTTGAAGCAGAACGACCTGTAACAAAACCAGTTTTCCCATAGGCTAATTGATATAAACAAAAGTTAACTGCCTATGGCTTATTTCTGGTCACAAAAACATCACCAAACTTCTAAATGAAGAACCAAACACTTCTAATATTAAACATTAAAATAAATGTAAGCTATAGATACATTGAAAAAAAATTAATAGAAAATAAGAGAATTATTTGGTAGGCTGCTTATTCCAGTTCAGGGTCATAGGTGGTCAGAGCCTGTCCCAGTAGCTCAGGGCATAAAGCGGGAACCCGCCAAGGACAAGATGCTCTTCCATCACAGAACCACTCACTCAGACTGGGACAGTGTAGACTGGCAAGCTCACCTCATGTGCACATTTTTAGGATGTGGGAGGAAACCGGAGCCCCAGAGAACCCATACAGACATGGGGAGATCTGCATACTCCACACAGACAGTGGCCTTTGCTGGGAATCAACATTGTTTTGTTACGATGAAACAATATTGAACAAAACGACATTATTAGGGGACCTGCTGGACTCCGCTCACACTGAACCACTGACTTTCAGCGCGTTGTTCCTGAGCCTTCAGGACTGGGGCTTGAGGGTGTACACGTGTACGTGAGGGGACTCGCACTGGGTTTTTCTTATGGTGTAAAATGTATTTAGTTTCTCTAATTAGAATTTTTGTTTTAAAAGGAGGATAAGATTATCAATCAAATTTTGATTTCTTACCATGAGTGCTTTGCCACTGAGACTGGGTTTTGCTGTGCTCTCTAAATCAAGAACCTATTACCTTTTACAACGATAGGTATCGATTACATACTTCGAACACTCAGAATGCCTGTGGTTTTCTTTTCCCAAATTCATTAAGACCTACACCAAGGCTGGCAGGATGTTCCAAGTAAATGAAATTGGGCCCTACCTGCTCCTAATTTTCCCTTTGAC